GTCTAACGCGAAAGACGCGCACAAGATTGGCAAGTTGCACAAACTCTGTCGTGTGCCAGACAGGTAAATGCATTTCACGTCGATCTGAATGATATATGATCAAAATGTTCAGTAGTAAACCGGAGCTAGAGTGAGGGCTCACATTTTGCTTCGAACGTCTCGAGGCTCTGTAGAAGAAGGGCGGCCTGCATGTCTTCCAATACACCAACGTCGATATCCACATGATGGATGGTCCGAAACATGGTGCGATGAGCCATCTCTACGGATCTGATATCAGCTACACGCTACGGCAAGCATCAGCGATGACTAGCCATGGATCTGATACTCGATATGAGCAAGATGCCTCCGATGGATCTCCTGCTGATGCATCGTGGCTGAGGAGACATCAAGAAATGCAAGCCAGACGACCACAGCCACTTACAAGAAAATCCACCCTGCAGTAGAGCCGTATTCTGCTCCACGCCATGTAGCGTCACGGCGGACATAGCGTGGTGCTGCTTAATGGCCAAGACTTGCAATTTGGCCATTGCCGTGGTGACATCCTTGTTTCCGCAGAGCTTCTTCCACCATCCCTCTGCAATGCTCATCAGCGGTGCACATCGTTTGAGTGGAAAAAACTGACTGAAGCGCCTATCTCTTCGGGTCTTCGTCACGACACCGATGACAACCAGTATATGGGCGAGTAGCTCGACGGTGGGTGCACGTAGCTTCTCGTAGTAGCGAGAGGCCGTTACAGGTTCGATGAAGTCGAGGTAGAATTTCATGTTGTCGAAAGCGTCGACAATGGCGTCGTAGTCCTCCTTCAACTTCACGGCCGTCTGCAACTCAAGTTAATTCAGTCCGGTCTGTGACTGAAGCTGACATGACGCGCACCTCAACGGCTACCTTGAAGGAGGCAAATAGCACTCTCACGGGCGAGACGGGCTGCGGACCTGTCAGAGGCGCATCGAGCAAACCTGGCCGAGGGTAGAGGCGCACCGAAATCACCGCCTCCCCAAGACAGTCACATAGCCTGCTCACGATCGTCGCGATAGGCTCCATACGCTCGCGAAGGCGAGGGTGTCCGCTGGCACGGAACTGCAGGAAACGCAGCTCTTGCTCCTCGATGTATGCGACGATCTTGTCCGCTGAATCGAAGGAGGCGACCGATGGGTCCAGGAGCTTGACGCCCGTGTCGCGCTCGTACTTGCCGATCGCCTGGATCCATATATCGGCGAGATGATCTTGAGAAGAGGTGGGCAGACGTTGGTCTTGGGAGGGACGTCGCATCATCGCCAGACTGAGGGACGGCATCCTTGCGGGAAGCGAGAAAACAGATGAGTTGACGGGATCGTCTAATCCCGAAGGCGACGCGGTTGGCGAAGGGAAGTGATGGAGAGGACGACAGCTCTGTTCGGGGGTAGGCCTGGGAGAGTCGCACGGTACAATGACTGACGCGGCATCAGTTGACATAGCCCGCGCCGGTGAATAGAAGGGCAATGTTCGTGTGAGCAGACCTACACTGCACAATTTCCTGGCTCCCCGAACAAGCGATATCGATGCCAGCGCGTAGGCGTGACGACTGGTTCTCATACATGAGCGCTACCATCTTGCTCAGGTGCTGGAGAGACTGGCAATGGACATAAGTCATACACGCATGACCAAGTACAGAGTCGGAAGACAGAATACACCGTATCCAAAATACAACAGAAGGTTCCCATCTGACGTTCACTGCAGAGGAATGAGTAAATTGCGAGAGTTTGAACGGAGGGTTAGCTTACCTCCATCACGTCCAACCCTAGACATATACCAAAACAACAGGCGCAGAAGACCTCCCAAAAGGGAGAAGGCGTGGAAAAAATTACGCGGATACGACGACGACAGACGCGAAGCCCGCCGCCATCGACATCGACGTCGTTGGTTCAGGCTCGCAACTTGTCGCAAACGGACTTCACCATGAAGTGCATCGCGGACAAGAGCTCCTCTGTCCCAAGCGAGCATCGCGCCGCTGTCCACGAACCAGGTCCGTGAACGCACAAGCCCGACAAGCAGATTGTGCCCTGCATCCCGACTGGCGGGTTGCAGTTGGCCGTCAAGCGTAGAGCTCAACGTCCGGGGATGACGCGCCCGAAAGCACGACGCCCATGGACATCGAGCGCACCGTGCACCTAAAAGGCACCAAGAGGTGCACCCAACGCCCAGGACAACAACGATGCCCGCATCCACAGTCCACTGTGACTGCTTCAGCAAGCACCGCACCCATGACGATGATCGTCGAACCAGAGAGACATCCCACGTCCCTCTGGAACTCCCATCGCCACAAGCACACGACGCCGAAGCGCAAACACTCACGTCCGCAGCACTTTCTGCAGAACGTGCGTCTCGACGGAGTGGGCGATAAGCGCTCCAGAACCGCCGTCTGATCACCAGAGGCATCGTACCCCCGCGCCAGCTACGACAACCGACAGTGCCAGCCGTGTGAACCAGCGCAGGACGCAAGCGCCGAAAACCGACTCGCGTCGGCCTCGTACGCCTAGCAGCACGATAGCCCGGCAAGCAGAACGACTACGCAAGGCTGAACACCAATGCGCGAGGTGAGGGTGACCCCATCAAGCGCGAAAGGGCCCTGCCAAACGTCCGACATATCATTCGATCCTGGTATGGGCCAGATATTCCATGGTCGAGGGATGGCACCTCGATGTGCCGTCGCCGACAGAGGTTCACCAATGCTGCCATGACCGCGATGAAGGAGTTGGACCTTCGAAGCAACAGGAGGAGTCGGCCTCCATGGCATGGCACGCGAGCGAGGGGTTGGACCTCGGCAGGCAGCGGCGGGCCTCCTCGTACGACGGCCACCATGGAATGTGGCGAATACCGTGGACATTGCATTTCGACTTCAGTTTCGAGTTTCAAGGTTCGACGACGACAGCGACATTCGACAGCGACAACGACAAGGACGACTTTCGACAAGCGACAACGACGAAATTCGACAACGACGACTTTCGACAACGACACGACGAGGAGATTCGACAACGACAACGACGAGCAAATTTGACAACGGCAACGGCGTCTGAAATTTGTCCAGGCATGCACCAGAGACCCCGCGCCGAGGAATGTAACCCCGAGCGCCGCCGTAGATGAAGACCGTCCATCGCAAACGCAGATGCAGAGGGGTCGGACCTCCGCACACGACTTGCTCTTGGAAAAGCCCCCTGTAGCAGCCACGAGATCCGGTGTACGCCGGTGGACTACGACTTTGAGTTCGACTAGATTCGACATTCAACAGGTTTCGACATTCGACAGGTTTCGACATTCGACGATGATTTTGGAGGTTGCCAAGTGATCGACAAGATATGCGTGTGTTCGACATGCGTCCTGGTAGGACCAGAGACCCCGCGTCGAGGGATACCACCTCGAGCGCCATTGTCGATAAGGACGCGACCATCGGGGAACGTACAGGAGGGATTGGACCTCCAACACGCGCGAGGGATCGGACCTCGGCACACGTCCCACGTAGAGCAAAGCCCCCGCGTGCAATGGCCACAGGATCCGACCAGACCGGTGGACTTCGAGTTTCGTTTTCGGCTCTTCGACAATTTCGGTGCGACATGTAGATGTTTTCAAGTTACGCCCTGATGTGAACCTGAGACCTCACGCCAAGGAATGGTACCTCAGGCGCTGCCGCCGAAAGGGAACCGTCATCACAAGGTGGGAAGGGGTCGGACCTCCGCACACCCACAACGAGGCAGCCCCTCGTACGACAGCCGCGGGATCCGGTGCAAATCGTTGGGACCTCTGTTTCGTTCGACCACTTTCTGATGTAGGCTTTCGATGACAATGTGCGGGTGTTCATAGACGTGTGTGCGACGTAGACGTGATGATGATGATGCGGTGAAGTTCTCGTCTGGACCTGGACAAGAGACCCCGGGTCGAGGGATGGCACCTCGAGCGCCGCTGCCGATAAGAACCGACCATCGCGTTGGCGAGAGAGGGTTACGGCCTCCCACGAGCGAGAGGGATCGGACCTCCGGATCGACCCGCCTGCGACGACGAGCGGCTTCCTCGTGCAGCAGCAAGCCGCGGGATCCGACCAGAGATGGCAGTGTATATGGTGGCTTTTAGAGTATGATCCGTGCAAGATTCCCGTTTTCATCTCGTGTGGTGCATGAGCTCGATAGATCGTGGTGGTGTAAGCCAGAGACCCTGGTCGAGGGCTGGCACCTCGATCACCGGTGTCCATAGGGGGTATTGCCGCGGTGAAGGGATCGGACCTTCACAGGCAAGGGGGCTTTGCAGCTCTCTGACGCGGAGGGGTCGGACCTCCGCAAGCGCATGAAGGATATAACCTCAGCACTGCCATGCGCGACATGCGACCCCCTCGTGCAACCAGTAACACAGGATCTGGCCGCACCGGTAACGTTCCGTCGCGTTTTTCGCTCGAATCTCGAGTATCGTCTGTGCAAGGCAACATCATGTGCGGGGTGAGGTCCTGGGATCCCGGTCGAGGGATGGCACCTCGAGCGCTGTTTCCAATAGGGGCTACCGTCGTATTGGAGGGATTGGACCTCCACGGGAGCAAGAGGGATCGGACCTCCGCAAACGACGAAGGGTCGGACCTCGACGTCCCTTCTACGATGACAGGTTCCTTGTAAAGACGGCTATCGCGGAATCCGGCAACGCGAAAAGCATTTCGGTATCGTTTGGCGTCCATCGTATCGCTCGTGTAGCGTCTATGATCCTGTAGTACCATGTAGGGCATATAGCGCTGACGGAAACCGATCTCGAGAGGACGTTCCATAGCGAGGGGCAAAGAGCAGGTGGTGGTTGAACGTTGAGAGCAAGAGGGGCGATTTGCCTTCGATCGCCTTGCAAGTGTCTCGGGCATTGCCGAGTAGCCATCAAAGCGGACCCACAGTGGCGTGAGGGCAATTCTGGACTGCCAGCCAGCAGCTCGACCAGAAAAAATTTGGCTCTAATTCTTCTGCAAAAGAAAGACGGTTCATGGACCGGCAATGCATAAGTGCATTAAGGGGGAATCGAACCCCCGGCGGGTCGAGCTACAAGTTCAACACAGTCGGATGGCAACGACCCAGGTTACCACTACCCCATTAATGCATGAGGGGACAAGGCATTCCTCATGTCCCGTCAAGCATCTGACTTTGTATAGTCAGAATTATACTTGTCCCGAGCAGGCTGTTAGCCGGCAGCACTGGAACAATTGGCTCTCAAAATCTCGCTGATCATACAAGGTACAGTTTGAGTAGATGATCGTACATTAGACATAGGTATAAGTATTACTAAACACTCAACTATCACCGCGATGCAGTAGTCCACGGCCAGTCGAGTTGAATATTCAGCGGAGCAAAGGGCGTCCAGAGTTTGCGTTGCATAGACATGATACAGGTCGAGGATCGCGCCGAGGGGGCGCTGCTGAAGACAGTCGCCAGCGCGTACCGCACCTTGCCAGATACCGAAGCGCTCGTTGTATGGTCGACGTCGTCTGCGCAGCTATGCTCGCCGGGATTGGTAAAGTCGAACCCCGTCGAAGACCGGATAGAGAGCGGTAGTCGGTAGGAGGCAGTCTAAGGTGAGCCGGGCGGTAACCCTAATACATTCCCCTCGTCCCATCTTTCACATCATTTCCCACCACCCGCCGCACCATACGCCCCCCTCCCGCCGAAGGTCGCGCTCAGCGGGCTCGCCTCGTTCTCGAAACTTGCATATCGCCTATCGAGCCCCGTGTCTCTTACGCCGCCCTCGAGCCCATCGACGTCCGCGCCCGCTTCTGCACCATCCGTATCGTCGCCCGCGCCATACGAATCCCCATCCGCCTCATATGAATTCTCCTCCGCGTCGAAGAGCGGCTCGTAGACTGCTTTCCCTCGCCCCGCAGGCAGAAAGCTCGCCGGCATGAACTGCGCGGGTACGATACCACCCAGGCCATGCGCCGGATACATGCCCGTCGTCCTGCGCGCTTTGCGGCGGAGGAGGGCGCTTCGTATGCGGGGCGGTAGGGTGCGGAGGGTGAAGTATCTGCGACGAAGAGAGGATATCAGAGCTCTGTCTTACATTGGGACGGACTTGGAAGGCTAGCACTCACAAGACACCAAGACCCAAGACGAGCCATACGGCGAGCGGAATCGTGGGACCGCTGGACGGTTCTCGCACGTCGCCGCCTGGTCGCTCGCCTCCCTCCGGATCCGTCGGCGGGGACGCCTCGTCGCCGTCTCCTACAGGCGTATTCCCGCCCTCTCCATCCCCCGGCTCTGTGCCACCCTCCGAGGGTTGTTCGACAGCCTTGCCGCACGCGTGTTCCGAGCGCCATTCAAAAGCATGAGTCCCGTTGAACGTCCACGACAAGCTAGGCTCGGTGGTCTGAAATTCATGGGTTAGCAAGGGGGAAGGGTACAAGAGGGGACGTGGGGATGTTGACAGGGAGGCGAGTGGCTCGAAAATCAAAGAAGTACTGGGGTGAGAGGGACACAAGCAGGACAAGTCGACATACCTCCTCAGCACAGACGAAGTCGAACACTGCCTTCTGTGGTTTGTTGTTGTAAAGCCCGCCGTGGACTGCGATGCGGAGAGCTGATGTACCAGGGTACGAAGAAGAATGAGATCATCAGCTGGGTCCATCGAAGCCATTCGACCACACGCACCATCCTTCTCATCTACCCTTCGCGCTGTCGGTCTCAGATCGGGTGCTACCGCTATAGGCACAACCTGCAGCACTCGCGGCGGTTCCGAAGGATGCGAAGGACGCGAGTTGATGACTGGGGGTACGAATAAGCGACTGCACTGCTGCACGCATTCAGATATGTTCACGCACCCTGTAGACACACCCACGTCCCTTCCCCGCACTGCAGCTCGTCCGGGAGCGTCCGATCGCGCTGTAGCGGCGCGCCACGGCCGATCGTATAGGTGTAGTCCGTGTGGGTAGGCGGCGTCGACTCGTGCGAGGTGATCGTCAGAGGCTCGGACCCGGAGAGGAGGGGGCAGAGGTTGTAGTGGATGGCGGAGAGGGTGAAAGCGCAGGGGAGGAATGTGCCGGAGGCGACTAGCGATGAGGGTAGTAATGGTGCGTTGGAGCCTTTCTGAAGTTGAGGATATCCGGCGAAGGAGCCGAAAGCGTCTGGTGGGATATCGCGCGATCGAACGCCTGCGCCATGCTGCGCGACGCATCTCGTGAGCGCTGCCGCGACGATGGCGGCAAAGAAGAACATGGACGACGATGTCGGTCGTGGTGGACAGCGTCAAGCAGCACCTTTGGCAACATCGGGAGCGCTATCAGAAGAGGATAGCGGACCGACAAGCCAGTGAGATCAGTGATCACAGGGCTTGGGGGGACGAGGTCGGCTGACCGGCATGACGAGCGCCTGTTCAGTCTAAGTCACCGCGCTTCAGCTTGGATGCTTTGAAGTGACCTCTGAGGAAAATTTGTGCCATTTTTTTCAGTGAGGATGGAATTGAGAGGGCCGGACACCATGAGTGCGATGGAAAGTGACAGAAAAGCACTGAGCGTCGAGCGATAACGTGGCAAACTCAAACATGCACGTGCGCCCTGCTAAGTTTTTAAGTGTACAATTGATCATTTCTTGCCCAACTCCGTCTCCCTGATGAAAACGGAGGTAACGAGCGCGAGACCCGCACTGCACGCCATCACCCAGAACGCAGTGTTCAGCGCGTGCTCGTACGAGTAGCGCACGATACCGCGCGCCTCGGGGTCGAGCTCCTCGAGGTAGTCGAGCGACTCGCGGACGCGCTTGACGATCTCATCCACGTCCTGCCCGTGCAGCTTTTCGTGCAGTGTCTTGCGGAGCACGTCTTGCAGGATCGTACTTGCGATGGCGAGGCCGGTGACCTGGCCCAGGGAGCGGAAGAGGTAGGAACCTGGAAATGAGGGGGTGAGCGGGATACGACGCGAGGAGCAATGAAGACACCCACCTGCGGTGGCGATAGCTTGGTCCGCCGGACCCGCATTGGCGATGAGGGATATGAGACTGGTCGTCACGCCGCAGCCTAAAGCACCGCATGAGCAAGCCCTTTAGTATCGCAACTGTCCCGACTCACCTCCACCCAGCCCCTGCACCAACAGCCCGAGCACAAACCACAATATCGAGTGCTTCACCGTCCCCGCATTCATCGCCACCATCGTCACCCCCGCCGCAAACATCACATACGCCCCCACCGTCAACCTGTAGTACTTCCCCGTCTTCTGCATGATCATTCCGCCGCCCAAGCTCCCCGTCGTCCCGGCCACCACGCTCGGGATGAGGTACGCGCCCGCCTGCCCCGCGCTGCAGCCTATCACCGCCTGATAGTACAGCGCGAGGTTGAAGAGCACGGGCGCCGTGGTGAAGAACTGCCAGAAGTTCGTCATCAGGCTCGCCATGAGCGTGCTGTTCCCGACGAGCCGCAGCGGCACGAAGGGCTCCGCGGCGACGCGGAACTCGATGTACAGAAACACGGGGAACGAGACGGCGAAGGCGGCGAAGGAGGCGATGGTGTACATGTCCGTCCAGGAGATATTGCCGCCGCGGTCGAGGCCGAAGAGGAGGGTGAAGATGGTGAGGATGAGCATGATAGCGCCGGCGAAGTCGACGCGCTTGAGCTTCTCCTTGAAGTGGGAATGATCCGCGGAAGGGAGGTGGAGGAAGATGGCGACGGAGACGATGGCGAGGGCGGCCATGGGAACTTGGATGAGGAAGCCCCTAAGCGATGTCAGTCTGCGGGCTCTCTCGTCCTTGAGAAAGGACTCACCATCGCCAGCCAATGCTGTCAGCCAGGATACCTCCAAGCGGCGCACCCGTAGCAGAGCCAGTGGCGAAGATGATGTTCAGGATGCCTTGCCATGTCCCGCGGGAGCGTAAGGGGACCACGTCGGACAGGATAATGCTAACCACACTGTCATGTCCATGCAATCAGCAAAATGAATTGCGAGAGCATGGGTATAAGACGCACGTCGTCATTCCGCCTCCCCCAGCCCCCGCAAACGCGCGCGCAGCAATGAGTTCGGTCATGTTCCTCGCCAGACCGCAGAAGAGACAGCCTAGCGCGAAGACGCTATACGCAAACAGAAGGCATGCCTTGCGCCCGAAGATGTCGCTAAGTTTTCCGTACAAAGCTCTGACGCAAAGGTAAGTGAGGGGAAGCAAGAACGCAGGTGGGGGCGCACTGGAAACTGGTGGCCGTGAGCATGTAGCCCGTCGCAATCCAACTAGTGTTCTGCAGCTGTTTAAGATCGCTGCCAATGGCGGCGTACGCTATTGTTTACAGCATGAATGAACCGGCGCATGAATCGCAGGAGGTGTCGCACCAGAGACGACGATCGTCGTGTCCATCGCGGCCAGGAAGATTCCTACTATCATGGGCACAATCTACTCATGACCACCGCACGTTAGCAAGACCCGGACGCGTCGCAGACTTGATACACGCACAATAGTGACCATAGCCGGCTTCTTCACGCCGCCCGGAGCAGCGCTCTCGACATCCTCGGCTTCTGGCCGGGATGGCGCGGGCTCCGTGTACGACTGTTCTTGCCCAGAAGGCAGCAGCGGGGCGCGTTCCCCGGACATGCAGGCCTACTTCTCGTGGCTGCTGTGCTAACTGGGCAACCTGAAGGAGGGAGGAGCAGGAAAAAGGGCGGGAATGCTGCAAGATGCGCAATCTAGCGCGCAAGATAACGTATGCATGCGGTTTATCAATGTATGAGTAAGCGGCGGCGAACGACGCCTTTGCGGAGGCTCAGGCTCATCCACATATCGCAGCCATGCATCATGGGAGGAGGAGAGCTGCAAACTGGAAGGGGGAGGCGAGAAATCGAAACGGGCAACGAGCGCTTGTCGCTCTTTTGGCGAAGCCGCAACGAGCGCTCCTCGGAATACTCCGAGAGGAGGTAACGGACCTGCCGTTACAGTCACCGCTGGTTTCTTGACCTCGTTCATCGTCAACCAAACGCGGACGGTCCAACAAGCGCATTCGAAACCCATATCTTCCAAATCATTCTATAGAGTATCACAGTCTACAGAACGGGAAATGGTACCAGAATGCCAGTACCAGCAGCTGTGGGAGCGCCCTTCCTCAAGATCTCGCTCGGATAAGTACATTGACACCTCGCGCTCGACCGCCTCGCGCGTTCGCGTTTGCTTTGCCGTATGATAAGGCTCAGTCGCGCATGAACTCGCTGAGCGCGAGGCTCTGCTTCATAGCGCGACCTCAAGGTTGCGCCGCACCTTCTAACCTTCAAGGTTTGTAGCATTGTCAAGCATTAATGGGGTAGTGGTAACCTGGGTCGTTGCCATCGTCGAGCTAGCTCGACCCGCCGGGGGTTCGATTCCCCCTTAATGCAGTGTTTTGCTTACCAATGACTTTTTTCCCTTCACTCTCCATTCTCTCGCCAGCCGAATGCATCGTGCGCGTTAGCCTTCATAGCACTACGAACGTCTGCCTCGGGTGATTATCATACCACTGTGTCGCGCTGTTCTGCGGCAGCCAAGCAAAGAAGGCTTGAATTCGCAAGTATGTCGAGGGAGTATGAAGTATGCATCCCATTCTGCGTCTCGAGAGACCCGGACGGGGCCTTTCATCGAATGGGCTGCGAGACGAGAGGATCCGCGCGATGTGAACAATATGAGAAGATATGCTACGTGACCCGATAGACGGACTCAATAAAAGGACTGATGCATAGAGAATACGTTTGTACCAGTTAGAAAGGAAACTCGCTCCGAAAAAAGATGTGCCCGTTGTCATCGTTGCGACTCGTGGGGATGGGAAGACACGAGCCAGCTTTTTTGGCCAACCCGGTGGCATATCGGCGTCGAACTGACTGAGCTTCAACAATAAAACAACATACGACCGGAATAAATTCGCGCACCTATGACATAGTCGCTACAGTTGCTGCTCGCTACAGTTGCTGCTCGTGCTGTCGAGGATTCAGCTATCATACCGAACTGACTGGAGGATCCGGATGAAAGTCTGCAACGGTAGATTGTGGCGCGCCAAATCCTTTTACTCGCGGCTACACTTTCGCCGCTGAGGAGAATCCATATCTCACCGCCGGCGACACAAAAACGACGCCACTTCGACTGTCCCGCCGCCAGAGGCGCCTCAGAAGCTGTTGAGAAGTTATCTGCAGCCTGCAAGCTATCCGTGGCCAGGCACCAGGGCAAGCAGCGGCCCGTCGTCCCATGACCAGGCGCGAGTACTCCGGACGGCCTGCAGCCAGAAAGCAGACTGCAGGCTCTGAAACGGGAAGTTCATGAGGCTCATCAGCCAGCTGACCGCCGCGGGGGATGAGGTGACCTATGAATGCGCGCAGGACCCACCTAGAGAATGCGCCGCGTAACAGAATGAAGAGCGGGATGCGCGAGGGATAGAGAGCTATGGTGCGTGACACCTAGTCACCACCTAAAAGTGACAGCGGCAAAATCGGCCGCGCAGCGCGAAAAATTGGGCATAAATTATATTCAAATTCGGATCCGAGGGTATATGTGAGCGAAAGCGCCGTTGGACGGATAAACAGGCCTCAGAATGTCCGAATTCAGCTTTTCCGGCCTCTCCTCCCTCCAAAACGAAGGATGTCGACAGAATATAGTTAATGTGTGTCTAACTTCCCACGCTTCAAGAAGTATGCACCCAGTGCGTGTTGTAACTTGGGACATGCAATATGTGTCTTTAGCATACAGAGGGGAGGAAGCCTTCGTATGCGCATCACAAGGCTACCCTACTTGAGTCTCAGCAGTCGTGAAAGTTGTGGTTACATATGGACCCACATGATTTGCGCCTTCCTAAAAAGGAAGGTGGCAAATTGCGGAGGTACCTAAATCTTAAAACTCAAGGTGGGGCTTATCCCTCTGGCAGTCTTGTTCCCCTCGTCAAGTACTACGTTTCTGCCAGAGGAATAAGAAAGTGGTAGATGACTCAGCTCCCCGCAACGGCTTGTACAAAAGTAGCGGTGACTAGGTGTCACGCACCATAGACCGCAGATCACAAACATGAGGGGAGCTGGAATGCGACCCTTGGAGATATGGAGAGGGAGCTCGGGGGCGGTCGTCGTCCAGGCCGCGGTAGATGACGGTGGGTCGGTGGAAGACCCTATTGAGAGTCGCGACAAGAGAATAGAGTCCGGACGGACGGGGCGAGAAGTCCCGGAGCACAGAGGCTCCACATGCACGCGTCCGCAAGTATCAAGAGGCATCAGGAGGCGAGAGCTGCTGGGCGGTATTCAACGGCGCAGACGGCCGGTGGGCGTGCTCGGCGGTTTGCATTTCTGCATTGATTCCAGCTAGACTCGGCTTTTCGGGGGCTTAGAAGTCTTGTTAAAGCGCTCGCGTGTCCAATGGGAGAGCCAGGAAGCCGTGGTTCCATCGACAAGGGCGAGGAGGGAGACGGAAAACGCGATCGAGTGACCAGTTCGGGAAAGTCCTGGCAGCAAGCCGTGGGAAAAGTTCGTTTTCGCGTCGACACGTGATGTGATGCTTCCTGTCTCGAGCGGCCAGGTCAAGTTCCAACGCGCCGTCCATGTGCACGCAATTTCTGCGATATGCGTGCCTGGTAAGATGCGTGGATGACGCATCCGCAGACTCTTCTTTCACCTCAGAAGGCCCCAGGTCTTCGCGAAAGAAGTCCAGGACTTCGATTTCGGTCCCGCTACAGTGAGTGATTTTTCCTGGCTTTGTTCTGCCTATTCTCCCCTCGTTTTTGCTCGTGCGCACCTTGCCCACCTCTTGCGCGACCCATCCAGTTCCGCCGCCCGCAGCAGACGGCGGGAGGAGGGAGATGCGCGTGACTGATGAGACGCTACCCCAGATCACTCCAGATCGGATTCTCATTCAAGATTTGAGTTCCCCATGGGCCTCGCATGTGCCGTGGGGTCAGCTGCCCGCTCGCGCGCAAGCTAGCATATAAAGGCAGGTTGATGGCCTTTCGCCCTCCGCGGTCTCTTTCGCGTAAGCCTCTATACAAGCAAGTAGCTGTGCCAAGACCGCAACCATGGGCAAGGGCGTACGTGATTTTTTTTCCGTCTGTCGAGGTCGAACAGGACACTGACGAGGTCATAGTACAATGCGGCGTTTGCCTCCAACCCGGTACGCTGTTTTGGTGAATTTGCAGGCCGTTTGACTTGCTGATAAACGAGCAGTACATCGTTGGGTCCTTCGCATGTATTGGTGGTGGTCTCTTCGGTGTGTAGCTTACTCTATGTCGTGTGGCATACGCAGCGCTGACCCTCCGCGCCACAGGTCTGGACATCTCGTCCATGTCTGGAGTGCTGAACGTACGCATCCGTCACCTTATCTTTGCCTCCCACTCGACTAACACCCGCCCAGAATGACTACTACCTCGCCCAATACAACTACCCTACCTCCGACGCGCAGGGCGCCATCACTGCCGCTATGCCCGCCGGTTCATTCGTCGGTGCCCTTATCGTCTCGCAGCTTGCAGACCGCATCGGTCGCAAGAATGCCGTCATCATATCTGGATTCATCTGGGTCATCGGCGCCATCCTCCAGTGCGCGTCCGTGAACCGTGGCATGCTTGTCGCCGGGCGTGTCATCGGTGGGCTCTCCGTCGGCATCGCGTCCACCGTCGTTCCCGTCTACCAGTCCGAGGTAACCGCGCCCGCCATCCGCGGTCGCCTCGTCTCTCTCCAGCAGTGGGCGATCACCTGGGGTATCCTGCTCCAATACTTCGTTCAATTCGGCTGCTCGTACATCGATGGCGTCGCCTCCTTCCGCATCCCATGGGGTCTGCAGATGATCCCGGGTATCATTCTGTCCCTCGGCATGATGTGGTTCCCGGAATCTCCGCGTTGGCTCATGGACCACGGGCACGATGAAAAGGCTCTGGAGGTACTTGCGGATTTGCACGGTGGTGGCGATAGCAAGAACGAGCTCGTCGTCCTTGAGTTCGAGGAGATCCGGCAGCAGGTCATCTTCGAGCGCACGGAGGGTGCGAAGTCGTACCTCGACCTCTTCAAGCCCGGCATGCCGCGCCGTGTTATGCTCGGTATGGCGCTCCAGATGTGGTCGCAGTTGTCTGGTATGAACGTCATGATGTGGGTGTCGTGCCGGGCGTGTATCTTGTCTGTCGTGCTGACGCCTGCGCTAGGTACTACATCATCTACGTCTTCGAGGGTGCCGGTCTCACCGGTCGCCGCGCTAACCTCATCGCCGACTCAGTGCAATACGTGCTGAACGTCGTCTTCACGATTCCCGCAATTATCTACATTGACCGCTGGGGCCGCCGGCCGATGCTTATCGCTGGTACCTTCTGCATGTCGCTCTTCCTCTTCCTCGTCGGTGGTCTACAGGGCGGGTATGGTGGCTGGGCTGATCTCGGTCAGTGACCTGAGTCTCATTGAAGCAAGAAGGCCTGCTCACTTGAGTCTGCAGACGGCTCCCGAACATGGATCATCCAGGACAACGAGTCCGTGCGTAACGCGGTCATCGTAATGTCTTACTTCTTTGTCTGCTCCTTCGCCATCACGATGGGTCCCGTGTCCTGGACATATCCCGCGGAGCTGGTAAGCCATATCTATATATTTGTCCCTTTTCCATATACTCACTTCCTCGAAGTTCCCCCTCAAAGTCCGCGCTAAGGCCGTGTCCATGGCCACAGCGACCAACTGGCTGTTCAACTTCGCCCTCGCGTACGCCGTGCCTCCCGGCTTCGAGCACATCGCGTACAAGACGTACTTCATCTTCGCCACCTTCAACGCCGCCGCGTGCGTCCATATCTTCTTTATGTACCCGGAGACCGTCGGTCGGTGAGTGACGCCGCGCTTCCTAACTTGTCGTTCCCCATCGACTTACTTCTGCTCGTCAGGTCTCTCGAGGAGGTCGAGGAGATCTTCAAGCAGGGCCACGTCTTCAGCGCATGGAAAATTGGTCGCGACGTCGGGAAGAAGACCGTGGAGGAGGTTGTGCAGAAGAGCCAGGCGATGGATGTATGTTCTTATGTGTTTACTCTCCTGAACCTGATACTGATGGGCTAGCAGGTGGAGCACCGCGAATCGATCAGCGACACAGAGAAGGCATAATGGCCATTTCTGTTCGACTGCCTGACTCAGTGACCGCTATGTTCTTTCCCGCCTCCCTCCTGGTGATTATGGGCCGCTCGCACTGCGGCTGTATTCCTCCGCGTCCGGGCTGTCTCCCTTCGCCCGCCCACGCGCGATTACTTATTATCTGTGTCTGTGATGTCCTGTACTGTACTTTGCATGATGGGTGTTTCATCGAGGAAAATTATCATAATACCTCTTGTTGAGTGTCCCCAATGATCGACACTCGGTGCGAGCGCCTGCGCCGTTCATCTTTAGTTGGCTTTCTACTGCCTAGACTTCAGAGTAGT